GTGATGACAAGGAGACTTCATCCATTGCTACAGCTCATAAAACTGATACCAAGTACAACTGCAAACAGAACCCTTTTGAATGTGAAGTATTTAATTAGTTCTGATTGAAACAAACCACCAAAATTAATATAGTCATACTCATACATTTATTTCTAAAACAAACCTAAGGCCCCAAATATTATTTCATATTTTAATTAATGAATAAACTATGTATTTAAAAAATAAGTGGCCATCTGAAAAATTAACCAAATTATCTATTTGAAAGTAAAGTAGATGATATTGAATAGTGCCCAAGTGAACTACAGAAAGAGAAAATGAAAGCCGTGTTTTCATTTACTAGATTACTAAAGATGACAGACACAACTCTGTCCCTAAGAATCCAGCAATGTGACTCTGCAGACTAGCTCAGGAACATACTTTTGTTTTCAGTAAGTTAAAGAGAGCATAACTATCTGCCAGTGCTTTCCACAACTTCCGTACCATCTTAAAGCATCTAGTAAGACCCCTCCTGATTTTATCAAGATTGCTACCATAAGTGAGGAGCTCTTTTATTAAAAAGCTGTGTATCTATTTTGGGAGAAAAAAAAACATTTAACAATAATTTCTTGCTCATTGCCATTTATAAAAAATATGAAACACCAAAGTAATTACTTTAAATAAGTAGACTTCTGAACCACTTACCGTGTGTTTCTGAACACGTCAATCATGTCAGTGTTCCGCCTTCCTTCCCCTACCACTATCACGTGTGTCCCTCGCTCTGACTTAGTGTGACCCTGACCTAACAGGATGTGAAGTCTGAGAAGTAGAAGGCAGAAAAGAAGCACACGGTTGCCAGCGGCCAGCACAAGCCACACACACTAGCCTCTGGCCCCCAGCCACAGACCTGTGCTGTCTTCAGCACCCAGCTTAGGAAGAACCCAGGAGCATAAGCTTATGCGCCTGTGTTATTTCTGAACAAAAGTGAAATCTAATTTCTGTACTCATGTGGCAAAGGCACCTGTGCAGCACTCACTGCTATTCTATTAAGATATTATCTCTATGCTATATAATGTGTCTTTAGAAAGCACAACACTAAATCCCTAAAATCTTGATGCTCCAAGACACCAACTCACAAAGAAACCTTACCTATCTAGAGTGGCCTTTCTTTCTATACATAGGTACAATCAACTTTCAACACTACTTCCATAATTTTCCAGAATGGTTAAGAAAAAGTAAGTTGAAATAAAGACCAGAAAGGGGAATCTGTCAAGTCACTTTACTCAGTACAAGATACTAAGATATGATTGGTAAATCCAAAACCACCTGTTTTAGAAAGTACTTTGAGAAAAAACATGAACTTCCTCCCCATTCCCCTAGCCCTATAGTAAATAACTTGCTGAGCACTTGCAATGAGCCTGGCACTGTGTATTTAGGGCATCATGTTGAACAAAAAGCTAACTGGCTCCTTTAAAATGAAGAAAAATGAAAGCCTAACTTTGAAACTCAGAATCCGATGTAAGTAGCACCGCCATTTGCCAACCAGTGATTCTGAACAGCTCGCCCTTTTCGCTGGGTTTCTACAGCCTTCAATGGCAAAACAGTTCCAAGAACTCAATCTCAAGTTCACATCCTTCTGTCGTAGCTTCCCCAACAAGACAACAACACTGCTACTAGTCATCAGTTTTCCCTATGAATCTCAACATGAAGACTAACAAATTCCAACTTTTTACACATGAAAACAAGCCCTGGGAAGGAAAGGTTGTGAAGATTAAGCAAGTCTCTGAAACCATCACATAAAATTTTATTACTATCACAATGTAAAATCAACACACATATTTGTTAACCAATAAAAAACAGAAATATCACATAGTTCCGCAAATGGGATCAATAATCATATATACTTGAAAACAAACTACATACTAGGAAAAAAGCCGCCGCCACTCAAAGCTACCCAGGCAATGAAGACACTACTTCTCTCGGTTTTAAAGTGTGCTGCAGGAAGGTGATGTCTGGATCATTAAGACCTTCCACTGTGCCTGCCTCCCTCCCACATAGAGACTGAGCAAGCAGATGACAAGGGGAACACAGCTTCTCAGTGGCCTCCCAGCAGCAAGTGCTGGGTTTCTAGTCACAGGAGTCCCACCAGAGCCAACTCTGCCGCTGGCACATCCAACCTCTCTGGGTTATCAGCGAGAGGGACATAAACTCCATTGCTAATGTGCGTAGCTCCTCATTGCCCTGTCCTAAAGCCCCCTTCATTTTCCAAGAGCAACAATCCATTGCTGCTCCAAAATTAAGCAAGTCAAATGGGTCAATCCGGCCTAAGGCTCTTCTCAGCTTGTCAACTTTCTTCTCTACGGTATGTCACAAGAAATATTTTTATGTTGCAAACTAAACTGTAATATTTGAAGGAAATCACCATAAACTCTTAATGTCACTTCTTGAAATTTAAAATTCACAAAACAACTGGTGGTTTTCTAAATAGCACCATGGGGGAAAAAAGCAAAACCATTGCAAAGGAACTTGCTGATCTGGAGGCCTGCCCATGGCAGCTCGGAAGGAATTAAATTGTGCGGGAACTGTAATCTCCCAGAGCTTTTGAGCCTAAAACAGAGAAAATCTGCCTTTCTGTTTCCTTTCTCCACATAACTGAAGGAGGGGGATATATATCTTACATCCTTCAATTACGATTGCTTGCTAGGGGCAACTGATTAAAATGTAGATTAGAAGAAACCTATTAAATAATATATGTTCATTGTCTGAGGTTTTAAGAAAATATTTTCACATGATCCCTGTCTTTAAAATTCAACAGCGACCTTAGAGGGAGTGTGCCACCAGGCTAAGCTGCTGTTGAAAAGCATGTCCCTACTCAGGCAGGTACAAGGCCCATTTAATTTCAAGTCGATCCGGAGAGGTGACAGCCCCAAGTTGCTCTGGGAACGTCAGAGCACAGCTCTCCTGCACACTCCAGATCACCTCTCCATTCTTCCTCAATGCCAAGGGCTTCCAATCCCTGCTCCAGCACTCCAAACACCCTCGCTTCCCCTTTGCAACGGGCTCACTCTGCATCGCCTCCTTCCGCCACCGCTTCCCCGGGCGGGGAAAGCGAGCCCAAGGACGCGCGCGGGTCTCCAACCTACCTTGATGATGCTGCTCCGGCGGGGCAGGCCGCCCGGCTTGCTGTCCCTGGGGACGGGTCCGGCGGCCGGGCTAGGGGTCCGCGCGAGCGCCACGCCTCGAGGTCCCCT